AAAAAAGGTGGCAATCCTAGTCTGATCCCTCTCCGATTGTGTTGGATTCTCGTCTCATCGGACTATAATAGTGGGGGAATATAGAGGGCACCTGTATTTGCGCACACACTCATGAACTATAATATACTATAATTTAATCCTGCGTAGATGGTTAGTCTCCGTTGAGAGTGGCCGCTGTGACCACAGAAATCGTATTAATATATAAACAATACAAGTCGCATAGACGCGTGACCATGTTGCCGTAATAATTCACCATTTTGTGATTTAGATGCGCGGGGAACGACGTACGTTAATTTATGTTACTATAATGGTGAACAGCAGCATAATAGTAAAAGAAAGTAGTAAAAACTCATCAAGGACGTGTAATTCAACTAATAAAGGTATAAAATTTCATAGGTTAGTTGAATATTTACTAATTATTACTGTTTTAACTAATTTACATCTCGATGAACTATGATATTTACATTTGTAAACTTTCATTTATTACGTTAATCCACGTTTAAATATATTAATTTGGTTTATTGTCCAGAGCAAGTAGCAAAAAGTTAAAAACTTTTCATCATATTACAAAATCCAGTAAGCCCGTATAACTAAAACCCCAAATTCAAAACCTCAAAATTGAGGTTAGCCCGACGTTAGCGACGAATTGAATTTGACTATATTGATAATGGGTGCGTTTGGCAGAAAAAAGCGCTAGCAAGCGCTTGTAAGCAAAATGGCGAAACTAAACGGTTTTCGGCCAGGACACGTTTGCTAACTTCAGTAGCGCTGACACAATCCGCCGTTTTGCTTATTTAATTTGTTTGTTTTGAAGTAGAGTTTATAAGTTGTTTTTTGCAATATTAGTTTTATTTAAGTAATATAATGACATGAATAGACATATACATGTTATTAAAACTTCATGATTGGTAAGTTTTTAATATAAATAAACATATATTTAAATTAGGTTAGGTTCCCCGGTTAAAACTAACATCGTGTCCTAGAGGAAAATAGCTACTTACGATTTGACAGCGCTTACCGCTTACGATCGCCATTTTGCTTACAAGCGCTTGCTAGCGCTTTTTTCTGCCAAACGCACCCAATGTTCGCATTTTATTTATATTGAACTCAGTTGTACAACATTTTTAATTTTACCACTTGTGTTATTTTGAATTGTTTTCAGATAGACGTTTGCCTCCCTTGCGACACTCATAAAATAATATGGGCTAGTGAGTTTTCTCACGCCACCATTACAGAGCAAGCACTCATACTCACTTAGGCACATTTGTTTTTCGATAATTAAAAAAATATATTAAATAGATTAATAATAATAATAAGCGTTAAGGGTGTGTTCCGATATACACTGTAACCACTGTAAGGTGTTACGTCAATTCAGTATACTGTGAAGCCATTCCGTTTCAGTTTAAACTAAAAAACAACTGGTTACCGTTTAAAACGGAACGCAGTTCAGTAGACTTCGAGATGGAGATGACGGCGGTATAATATTAATCATGGACACGTATTCTGATCAACGAGAAAAATTACTATTTGAATGTTGTTCTCTTTAAAAATTAATGTCTGAGTTTATTTGTTAAAAATGTGTAAAAAAATGTTTTAAAAAAAGTTAAAAATGTGTTAGAAATTAATGAACACACCACCAAGGGATTTTTGTGTACTTACACAACCTAGAAACCGATAAACATCTACTTAAAACGCAATTTCTCAATTATAATTACAATCAAGTAACAAATAATAATGTAATATATAAGTATGTATGTACTTATCTGTACTTGTGTACGATTCTATATTATGCATCTTTATTTCTAATTTATAGTTTATAATAAAAATAATGACATTATTGTCGCCAAACATATATGTTTTTTATTGTTTTCTTGCAACCTTGTCCATCCAAAGGTTGTCTGGAAGAGATCGCTTTTAGTGATAAGACCACCCATTGTACCACATTTCTTTCTCCCCTTTTTTTGTTAATATTTACGGTTTTTTTTTCGCGTGCAATAAAGTGTTATCTATCTACCTATCTATCAAATAAACTAACTAGCGACTTCTGTTGACCGTAAAATTATTAGCCCTCATTGACTTGAGACTAGAGAATAAAAATAAGCAATTACAGCTCGTGATAGTATTGACCAGACACAGCTTGTTAGCAATTAAAATTCGGACGTTGTGCCGTGTACAGATTCGGTGCACGAAACCGATGGCTTTTGTGGAACGTGAACATGTGGGTGGCGGCCCTGCCGCGGACGCAATAGTACCTTCGCGGAATACAAAATTTATATATATACATATATATATATATATATATATATATATATATATATATATATATATATATATATATATATATATTATACGTGGTAGAGCCACGCTGCAACTATATTATGTTTTTAGCACATATGGGTCGACTTGACCGGGACAGTACCACGCTCTCACAGAAAACTAGTGTAAAATATCAGCGTAATACTGCAGTGTTTCTTAAGGTCAGCGCAGAGATCCGGAGACTCTTTTTTACTGGAAACGAGGCATTCCACCTTAGTCCTCATGGGTGTAGTTATGCACTTTGATTCGTAATCGAGGATAAATGTAGAAGTCTTTGGGCCACAGCATCCACTTACCATCAGATCACCCTTATTCTATATTAAAAAAACATAGGGAGGGAGCCCAAATAGAGTCCTGCGGATGATTAGCAAGAGAGTGGATTCCAAGGTTTAGTCAGTAAGCCGACAAGTCAGAAGTGTCATTCATAGTTTTTGTGTTCAAATTTCAGAAAAGTGGAGTCTAGTTCGTCGTCGAGTAGAGTTCCAAAACTAAGAATCTCAGTAACTGTGACTTGCGTGACTACCTCATTGGTGTAGTCATCGTAAACGCGTCTGCTTGTCACGTGACCCTGGATTCAAATCATCAGGTAGTTCAGAAATCAGTAATTGGGTATGTTGTCAAGAAATCCTTAATAGCAGTCCGGAGTCAGCAAGTTTGCTATGATTCACCCCCGTGTTCAAAAGCAAGTTAAAGCCTGCGTGCGATCTCTCTCCGGTCGTGAGAGAATAGAGAGTGCACCTGTATTTGCGCCTACACTCGGGCACCATACTCCCGTCCCGCGCAGATGACTACGCTACGTCTACGTTGATACTTGCCGCCGTGGCCGAGATTCTGTCTGGATATAATAATGATGATGAAAAACAGAGAACATTTGTCGAAGCGTAAAGCGTGACGTCATGACAAACACGCACATTTGTATTGCAACGCCCTGAATGATCGCCGCTCGAATTATATGACGCGTTCACATGCATTGAGCGTTTTCCGGCGTGGCGTGTAGCGTGACAAGACGTTATCCTCTACACTATATTATACGCAAAATATACGTTACATGCGATAACTTCCAGTTATCTAGTGACCGGTCTAGTACAAGGTAGTGAAAAATTGATAACATGCTACAAAATAACTTTTCATTTAAAACGACATGTGAAAATGAATCACGAATGACATTTATTCATAAGTACTTACGTTTTTACGAGTGGAACGACCGTAAGGACACTATGTTATATTTTTCACGATAAAATTATTAAAAGTTATTAATTATTATTAAAGATGAAACGGATAGCTGTTTGGCCGGATACCAGATACCGGATATTCGGCCAGTCTTATCGCCGGATAGCCGGATATCTGGCCGCCGGATATTCTGCCGAACATGCCGTTTGGTGCATTGCAAGAAGCGAAGTAAAAAAAGTAAAGTCAGTGCAAAATTGCAAAAACAAAATTATGTTAGGGCTGAATCTGAATGACAGAGTGAGAAATTGTGTGATAAGAGAAGAGTATGGTTTGTAAGATGATGTTGTGACCAGGATTAAGAAAGGAATGCTTCGGTGGTTTGGTCGTGTGGAGAGAATGAATGAGGAAAGAGTGACAAAGCAAATTTATGTTGCAGAAGTGAATGGCAGAGCCAAAAAGGGACGCCCAAGGCGAAAATTTATCGAACAAATAAGCGATTTATTGAAAACGGGCCAAATTAGGAACAGCCTTAACCGACGAGCATGTATGCGTAGGTATATGGATGTGAAGGAGGCGAGAGATGTGTGTCAGGATCGTGCCAAATGGAAGTCTATAGTCTCTGCCTACCCCTCTGGGTGACAGGCGAGAGTATTTATGTACGTATGTATGTACATTAAACCGTTTTTACATAATTTGTCTGTTATCTTTTTTTTTTATTTATCACAAAGTATTGTTATTATTAGAAACGATAACTAGTCATAAATAATTACAAAAAAGAACATAATTTTGCAATCTTCTACGTTTTATTTTAATCCATACTTCAACTACACCAACAAGGCAGAGGCACAAATCACAATTACGGAAATTCTTGACTTTGGAATACTCCACTTTTCTAAACTTTGAACACAAAAAATATGAGTGCTACATAAATATTGCATGATCTTTTTTACCGTCTGGAAAAAAGGGTGTAACAGGTGAACAGAATAGAAGCCTATGACACTGACATTTTACAATTTTTTATATTATAAAATTAATCTATCAATAAAAAAAATTATAAATAAGGACTATCGAGCACACAGTCCATGTGATAGTAAGTGAATGCTGTAGCCCATAGACATCTACATTTATCCTCGATTAAGAATCAACACGCAGATGCGTTGTCACCCCTGGGGACTAAGACGGAATGCCTCGTTTCCAGTAAAAAAGGGTCTCCGGATCTCTAAACTCACCATACGAAACACAGCAGCATTAAGCTGCTATTTTTTACGCTGGTATTCTTTTAGAGCGTGGTCCTTTCCCGGTCGAGCCGACCCTTTCGTGCTACAACCATAATACCACCATAACCATAGCTGCAGTGTGACTCTACCCCGTATAATATTGTTAATTTGATGGGTATATGATCAATTTACCATCAGGCGAATTGAGCGCTCGCTTGTCGCTCTTATCCTAAAAAAAACATGCACTTAAAAACCATTATTTTTCCATAATGACATTAGCAACAGCGAAACAATCACCTGTAGAAGCCTGACTTGCTGTCCGCGTTATCCTTGATGCTCTTCTTGGTGTCGACTTCGCTGAGCACGACGAAGAAATGGTGGCACTTGTCGCACTTGACGAAACGCGTGGAGCTGACGAACGTCTCCACGTGCGTGCACGGGTCGCCGCACTTGGGGCACGTGAGCACGCCACCATTGCCGGACCCGGACTTCTTTCCGCCCGACGGACCTGATGGTTTTCAAGGGTTTATTAATAATATCCTGCAGTCACTACGCTACGTGCCACGCTAGACGCCACGTCGGAAAACACTATGGGATACGCGTCATACAACTCGAGCGGCGATCGCTCAGGGCGTTGCAGCTAGGGAGCGTTTGGCGAAGCGTGCAGCGTGACTTCATGACAAACACGCGCATTTCTAAGGCATTTTCATTACGTTTACGCGTATACCAATAATAATCTCCCCCATACAGAATTTCAGTCACGGCGGGCGGTCTTTCATCTGCGCAGGACACGATTATAGTGCCCAAGTGTATGCGCAAGCACAAGTGCACTATCTATTCTCTTACACTCAGTTTGATGGGACGGTAACTCGATGAGAACGTAGGGTGATCAGGCTCAGGACCAACGGCTTTACGTGCTTTCCGAGGCACAAGGGTGAAACACCACCAACTAACTTCCTGATTCCAGAGGGCTACTGAGAATTTATTGACAGAAAAACCCTAGTACTGATTTTGGCACAACCGGAATTCAGAGCCCGAGATCTCATGATCGACCACTACACCAACGAAGCAGTCCAAGCGTTTAGTACTAAATGTATGAAACTATCAGTCCGCCGAAATCGTGTCGGTATCGAATCGGTGTCGTTATCGATGAATGTGAAAACACCAAATAAATCAAAATAAGAAATGTGCATAAACAATGTATGTAAGCAGTTTGATACGCGTTTCACACCACGGAAATAGCAAACCAGACGACACGTGTTCACTATTAATGCCAACACCGAAAGCAACCTAATTATAGTGTAAATAGCGATCCGCCCCGGCTTCGCACCGGTGATTTCTGGATTTCAACAACAGCGACATCTACCGGGTCTTATTGTAAATCTACACCATCCAGGGATCCACTCAAACACACAAAAAAATTCCCCAAAATCGGACCAACCGTTTAGGAGACACACAAACAGAACAATTATATATACGAGTAAAAAGATGTAGTTTACTGGCGTTAAATATTTTCACATTCTCTCGAGCACTCCTCGGAATACTTTGTTAGAACTGTTATGAAGAGTATTGCTAAACGAGATCGGTTAATTCTACGAACGATCCTCTGTTGAAACCGAGTGCCCGCCGTTTTCAAGGTACGGATCGGGAAGCTTTCAGTACATGAACACTCTTTTCCTGAAAATGTCTTAGTGTTTTTTATAGAAGTAAGGGTCTCAAGTACTCAATTCACTTGACCAGTGAATGCTGTGGTCCATAGATATCAAAATAAGAATCAAACCGACATACGTTGTCACTCCTGAGGGCAAATATGGAGTGCGTTTTAACCACTAAAAAAGGGTTTAACACTATTTTCATCATTATACGAAGCACTTTTATTACGTAGTAGAGCCACGCTACAGCTATATCGTCTGCTACGTTTTCACATAATATCAGCGTAAAAAATCAGAATAATGATGTGTTTTGTATGATGAATGTAAAGAACCGGAGACTCTTTTTACTGGAAACGAGGCATTCCATCTTACTTCTTAGGCTTTGACTTTTGAGGGTAGATGTATGGTCCACAATATCCACTTACCATCAGGGGGACTGTGTGCTCGCTTTTTACTCATATTCTATTAAAAAAATTCTGTCATTTCATGCTGGTATTCTGTGCGAGCGTGGCTTACTTCGTGCTAAGGCCTCAAGTCTCCGTAGCGTACTCTACCACGTAATAACCTGGCCATTGCAAATATTCTACGTAATCTAAGAGGGACAAGCATAACAAAACACTTGTAAGTAGCTCATTGAGCAACACTTGGCGTCCTGCCATTAACTCCACTCAACAACCCATGCAAGGATACAAAGCACTAATTAAGATGCGCTACGTTGACGACGGAGAGGATGATTCGATTTATAATCTTAATTTATATAATATAGACTTTGTTTTCTTATATAATTAAATAGAAAAAATTGTTTTCATTTATAGTACTATTGCAAAAATATTACATTTAACAAAAAATAACTAAAGAAATTGTCATTTCCACTTTACATTGAATTTTACATTGAATTTTCAACTTTAGAGACTTTTAATATAAAAGAGGAAAACTTAAAAAAAGTAAGTATTATAAAAGTATTCTTACAGTTTGAATCACTTTGATTACTTTTGTTTTAGGTGAAAAATTAGTGGGCAGTAAAAACAAACCATGAAGCAGTTGTAGACTAACACGCTGATGAAAGAACAAGAAAAAGAAAATAGAATAATAAATACCCGCTGACATATTTAGTAGAACTCAAAAATTCATTACTCATACTAAAATTATATTTTTGAACTAGCAAATTGCTATTAAAATGAAGTAACCCGCCTGCAAAGATTTACATTAATTAACGAGAAACAACTACACAACATTCCGTTTGCGTAAATCTTAAACGGAGCTGTTTTTTACTTAGGTCTCTCTCAGTCTCACACATCCAGATGCGTGTAAAAGGCAGAACCTTATCTTTACCAACACGCAGTCGGGTAAAAAGGAAGTTTTTTTATAGAATAAGGGTGACAAACGAGCACACAGTCCACCTGATGGTAAGTGTATGCTATGGCCCATAGACATCTACATTTATCCTTGATTATGAATCAAAACGCAGATGTGTTGTCACCCCTGAGGTCTAAGATCGAATGCCTCATTTCCCGTAAAAAAAGGTCTCCGGATCTCTACTCACCATACGAAACACAGCAGTGTGACAGCGCGGTCCTGCCCCGGTCGAACCGACCCATTCATGCTACAACCATAATATAGCTGGCAGAGTGGCTCTGCCACGTATAAAACGTATTAGCAACAATCTTTTGTTTCCAAATTTCAATTGAATTCGTTTCCTGTTATAAGTAAATTTCCTGTAGTACAATTTCCAATCGATTGCATAAAAATAGCATCCATTGACGTTATTTTATAAATAATGTAGTTCCGTTACCGTGCCAATTGTCAGTCCAAACCCGAATGTCAACAACCTCCCGTATCAAAGGATAATTTTTACTTGACACCTCTCAATTTGTATATCACTATTTTGATAAAACTTCTCGAAACTTCAGAACTGTTTTAATGGATTGCGTTGTTATTGTGCGCATTTATTTCGTGATAATTTTGTTTTTATTAAAGATCAGCAGAACTTTCAATATACTAGATGATTTTTTTACCGTCTGGAAAAAAATAGGGTGTAACATGTGTACGGAGTAGAACCCTATGGAACAAATATTTAACAAAAAATAAAAACAACAATTTTGAATTAATTACTTTTTAAGTAAAATTATGGAATTTCATATGTATGTAGGTTTCTTCACGGTGTTTAACTTCGTAGCTGAACACGTGTTCATCTTTCCGAACTTGGTAATTAATTAAAATCTATCGAAATTCAAATCATATCCACCCTGATACCCAAATGGCAAACTAATTGTAAAAAATCCAGACGTTTAATTTAAAATTTTTGTATATATTTTTCGTAAAATATCAGTGCCATAGGCTTCTACTGCGTTCACATGTTACACCCTATTTTTTTCCAGACGGTAAAAAAGGTGATCCAGGATCCAGTATATTTAGCGTGTAGAATTTTGTAATATAGGAAAGGTGTCAAAGAAAAGGAGACGTGTTACTCAGTTGAAGACTTTAATTATACTGCCCTTCACTGTACACTTCACACAAATATACAATGTCGTGGGGGCTACACTACACCTCCTACCGACAAAAAAAAAAGATTTAAAAAAAAGAAATGAATGCATTTTTTTTAGACTTATAGTAATAAATATTTCTGTAAACTTTTATACCTAGGACTAGGACGCCCGGATCAGTACCGCCCTCTTATCTACTCCTGCTAAGAAACAGCACTATTTACGCTGCTTGGTTCCGATCTGAAGGGTATGGACACCCAGTATAAATACACGCAAATCTGAGGCATTCCATCTTAGTCCTTAGACATAACAACGCATAAAGTTGGCTTCAAATGACCACGTTTTTACGTGGTAGGTACGCTGCAGCTACATTATAGTTATAGCACGAATGGGTCGGCTCGACCGGGACAGGACCACGCTCTCACAGAATACCAGCGTTAAATAACAGCGTAATGCTGCTGTGTTTCGTATGGTGAGTGTAGATATCCGGGGATCTCTTTGGACCACAGGTGGAGTGTGTGCTCGTTTGTCACACAATGCTATAAAAAACCATACCCTGTAGTAGCAACTTACATTCATGGCTGTCGGTTCATTTGTCACCTGTTTTATTTTTAAATAAAATCGTGAAATTCTCAGAGGTGTCAACGCATCTGCATTTTGGTTCTTAATCAAGGATAGATGTAGGTGCTCGTTCATAATTTCATAATATGCAATTAAACCAAGTTCGGAAAGATAAACACGTGTTCAGCGACGAAGTTAAACACCGTGAAGAAACCTACATGTATGTGAAATTCCATAATTATTTAATTTAATTAGCCTATTAAAAAGGTGTACGCTCTTTTCTTGAAGGACCCTAGGTCGTTGGTCAGGAAAAATCACCGGTGATACTGACATATATGATTCCTCAAGGTAGTCGTGCGAGGAAGAAGAAAACTCCAAATAAAATGCACAGCAGTGGACCGCCAAACATCCAGATGATGTGGATTTTTTCATCATTAAGTTGTTTTGTAAGTTCATTTTCTTTTAAAATATTTCTCAACGCAGTCATGAAAAAACTTTTTAACAAAAAATTAAACCGCCGAAAAAAACTGAAAAGCAAAAAATAATAAACCTTTTTCTTTTACCTTAATAACTAAGTTCTTAAATTAATGTTAGTATACCTAAGTGATTTTGAGTGGGCGCCAAACAAGCAAATTAATTAATTACTTAATTATGTAAAATAATGCATTGTTAATTTCATTTAGTTATTAGTGATCTTTGCTCATTGATTGCTTGGCGCTGACCCAAAATTACTTAGCTATACTAACATTTGTTTAAGAACTTAGTTATTAAGGTAAAAGAAAAATGTTTATTATGTTTTGCTTTTGAGTTTT